TTGAATAAATTTGAATGGGATGAAATGTCATGGGGACAGACAAATATCCCTTGGAATTTTTATGTTAGAACGTGACACAAAATAATGGTGTAGGGGATAATATTTAAAAAAATTTAAAGGTAGAGCTGAGGAACTAATTACTTAAGAGAAATTTGAACAAGTTTTCAAGGAGTTGTATGTTCCTCATTCAGTAAGGTAGGAAATATAGAAGAGTTTTATCAACTTAAAGTAAGGAACCAAGACTGTTATTCAATATAAATTTGAGTTTACATCTTTATCAAGGTATGTTATGTAGCTTATCAATACTCATACTAAAAATATTATAGATTCTTTAAGGACCTCATAGATTCAATAAGCCAACCTTTAATTTTCTCTTTGCATAAATGATTTTTTTGAACATGTTGAAAGTGCCAGACTTTTAAAGCAAAATATAGATATGGTGAAATAAAAATAATAGTTTGATAGCGAAAAGAGGTCATTTGATCATAAAGGTGGCCAATAAAAAAGGCAGAAATTTCATTAGGGTTAATAGAAGCCTGTAGTGTTTCATTCAATACCAGCCTGTGCAAATTATGGAAAGTCTCATAAACAAAATGTATAATTAATTCAGAAAAGTGTTATCTTTGTGAAGAGTCAGGACATATCAAAATAAATTATCCAAAAAATATCCAAGGAGGTAGACAATTAAAAGGTATTTAAAGGACAAAGAAGTATAGGGGTACTAAGCCACAAATGAGCAACCAACTTTTAAGATAAAATGAGAAGCGGGGAGATCAACATGAGCTTGTGTTTTTACTTTAACTTTTCAAAAGCTAAAAAATCTTTTGAAATAGTGACATGTAATATTAATATTTCAGATTTATCTATTAGAGTTCTTTTTTATTCACGTGCATTCCATTATTTTATATCTAATGTACTTTGTGAACATTGCCTATGAAGCCTATTACTTTCACCCCTGGTCTGAATATTCGATTACCTGCTGGAGATTATTTAATTGTTAGTGCTTCAAATTGAGTTAATATTATGATAGCTGGTAGAGAATTCTAATCAGACTTAATAATACTACCTTTAGTAGAGTTTGAAATAATATTGAGAATTAATGAATTGGTCAAACACTTTGCTACTATATTGAATGTTGAAAGAAACAAGTTAGATTTGTTTTTCTTGGAGTTTAGATATTTTATTTTTGGTGTAAAAGATGAGTAATGGCACTTTTTATTATTTTTAGTGAGGTGAACGAAACTATAAGAGTTGAAGAATTTATTTTCTTAATAAAGTTAGAAGCTATTAAAGGGTAAGTGATGATATAAATTATATTCCTATAGTGAATGAATATATATATATATATATATATATATTCTAAGGAATTGAATAATTTGCTTCTAGAAAGAGAGGTATAATTTTTTATAAATATATAATCATGAATAAATTTGATTGTAAAAGCACATTACATAATGACAACTAAAGAGTTATAAGAATTAAAAAAGTCAGTTAGCAGAATTGATTGAAAAAAAAAGGCTTAATCAGACCAAGTACAACTCTATATAGTGCACCAGTATTATTTTTCAAAAAGAAGGATAGCTCAATGTGATTATGTATTGATTACAAAGAGTTAAATAAGGTGACCATTAAAAATAAGCATCCTCTCATGAGAATTGATAATCTATTTGATCTATTAATATGTGCTTTTGTTATCATCAAGTTACAATAAAAGAAGGTGATATTTAGAAGACATCTTTTGGTATCAGGTGCGAGCACTATGAATTATTGGTTATGTCATTTGGACTAACTAATGCCCCAACAATATTCATGTATATGATGAACAGAATTTTCATGCCTTATCTTGATTAATTTGTAATTATTTTTTATTCATGATATTTTGATTTACTCCAAGAATGATGACGAGCATGTATATCACTTGGAACTTGTTATGGGATTATTAAAACAACATAAATTATTTGCTAAGTATTCTAAATATGAGTTTTTGTTGAAGAAAATTTTTTTTTTGGGGTACATTGTTAGTGATGAAGGTATGTCTATAGTTCGAGAAAATATAAAAGCAGTTGTTGAATGGCTAAGACCAACTAATGTGATTGAAGTCCTGAGCTTCTTGGGATTAGTAGGTTATTACAGAAGATTTGTAAGGGCTTTTCTCAAATTGCTTTAATGGTATCTAGGTTGACTCAGAAGATTATTAAATTTGAATGGACTAGGAAATGCAAGCAAAGCTTTATGGAATTAAAGAGGTGTTTAACATCTGCATTTATATTGATAATTCTATTTGGAACCAAATGATTTTAACTATTCAGTGATGCTTGTCTAAAAGGGTTGAGTTGTGTATTAATGCAAAATAAAAAAGTGATTACATATACTTTTAGATAGTTAAAGCCTCGTGAAAAAGAATTATCCAACTCTTGACTTAGAATTGGTTACAGTTGTGTTTACATTAAAAATTTGGAGACATTATTTATATGATATGAGATGTGAAATATTCACAAATCATAAAAGTTTAAATACATTTTCATTCAGAAGAAATTAAATTTGAGATAGAGAATATGTCAGGAATTAATAAATGATTATGCTATTGGCATTCAGTATTGCCCATGCAAGGCTAATGTAGTAGCTGATGCGTTAAGAAAAAAAAATAGAGAACAAGTAAATTGTATCTTAACTCAAGAGAAAGGGTTAATTAAAGATATGGAAGCATTAAAACTAAAGGTTAGAATGTAGAGTGATCACGATTTAGGTAGTTTAAATCAAATGACTGTTTATCTTTCCATGGAAGAAAAAAAATAGTGAAACTCAAAAGACTAGTGCTGAATATCAGAAGTTGATTGAGCAATGACAATCAAGAAAAAGAAATGATCTCAATGTAGATGTTCAAGGAAGAATCAAAAGTAATATGCACCTGTGGATACCAAATGAATCATATCTGATTTAGGATATTTACATGAAGCTCATAACTCAAGTTATTCAATCCATCTAGGAAGCACGAAGATGTATAAAGATTTGAAAATATTATTTTGGTGTCCTTGAATGAAAAGAGATGTAACATAATATGTGGCAAAATATGATAAATGCTAAGTTGTTAAGGCTGAATAGCAGAAACATAGTGGTATGTTGCAATCCTTATCAATATCACGTTTATAAATATGTACAATTGTATATGACCGAATTTAAGGAAAATAAGTATTAAAAGTTAATGATTTTAGGTTGTGGTCACAACAAAGTGTTCATGTATGAATAATCATATGTGAATTGACATTCTTTAAGTTTGAAAATAGATATATAATGATTAAATAAATATTTTCCTAATTGACCATATGTCAGAAAGAAATCACTAAGTTATATAATAAATATTCTTCTAATGCAAGCATCGTAGTATATGTATTTTATTTATCAAACATGAAATATGACAAATCAAATATGAATGCACAATCTATAAAGCCTGGTAAATATCATATTAGTAAAAAAGTTGCCTTTCAAATAAAATAATAATTTTGATGCAGGTGGGGCGAAAGGAACCCCAAAAGAGTTAAAAGGGGCCTCCATGTAGTTCAATGACAATAATGCTAGTATTTCTTTGACTACATTGAACATTAGAATGAAAGCTATAAAAGTTAAAGATATATAAAATGATGGCCATAACCAAATATAACTATTTATGATATTATCTAGTGATTTCAAATAAGATAAAAAGATGATCATGAATATATTTTAAGTTGTTTTGCAAGTACTAATGAGTTTAATTCAGTTATAGTTTAAATTATTTTATTCACTATAATATTTCATTTTATTCAAATTGTATAACTTTATGATCTTCATAACTCATTAGCTTTTATACTAGTTGTTGCTACATGAAAAAATAAGAAAAAAGTGGAAACATATTAGACTCAGTTTAATAAATCTTTAGATTTTAGTGTTTTGCAGTGCATGTGAATCTACACATGAGGTATGTAGATTGTTGAACTGTTGTGATGTTTTGAATTTGCTTAGTGACTATTTAATTACTTTTGTAATGCAATTAAGACTATTTAGATGTTTCTGTTCATTTAGAAAATGTGTTATAATGTGGATGGAATATCCATATATAAAAATGTTTAAAAGTATTAAATGTTAAGAATTATGAATGTTATATTTTCTCTGTTACACTCTACTTTGTTGGAGTATCATGGAGTGTTACAGATGGCTGGGTGATAACAACCAGTTGATTTCAATTGAGCAATGGTGGTCAAGACATGATGGTTGGGTAGCAATCAGTCAACGATGATCATTCAAAAACTATCGACGGTGCTAGTCATTGGTGTTAATCATCAGATAGGGATTTGTTGTTTTTCATATATCTAATGTCAATCCAAATTTAATTTAGTTCCCAAACTTTCTTTATTTGAAGAATATAGGTCTAGTTATATATTGTTTAGTGGTCTTTTTTAATTATAATTTTAGACAAAATCCTAAAACACTTCATGGGATGGTCCATGTAGATTCTTGTGATCATACATTATTTTTTTCAAAATTCAGATGCCTTAATGATATTAGCATCAAATGATCTTGAGCTTTTTAGATTCCTCTTGTTAATATACTTATTTTAGTTACAAGCAAATAATATTCGAAGATTATTTTTGTTTTTTAAATAATGTCACGATATTTTCACTGTGCATTAAGTGCTTGATTTCTGCTGATTTGAACTCTAATCATAACACTTATGGTGTCATTTGATTCATTTCATAGAGACCTAGTTCTATTGTATGTTTATAAAATTAGAGTTCACTGTTATTTATCTAATTAATTATTTAGCTTTTACTATACTAACTAATTATTTAATTATTAACTACATTATTATTTATATAACTATATATTTAAGTTTTATTTTAATAACTAATTATTTAATTAGTAATTACACTAATACTTAACCACAAGAAAAAGACCTCAAATTTCCACTTTCAAATCGCCAAAGCACCCGAGAAAAAAATCTCAAATCCCTAATTTTTCAATTTATAATCCCACCAACATTAACTCAAATCAGCCCTCAACGCCCAAACCCGCTTTCCCAAATCCACCACTCCATTTTTTAGTTTTTTCATTCATTTCGACAAATTCGAGCCACAAATTCGAGCCGCAGGATGAAGCAGAGGTAGAGCGGAATATAACGAAGCGAGTAGGTGGCGATGCACGGTTACACTGCCGCTCTGGTGCCTAATTGCCGACGGTTTACCTCGCTGTAGCCACCACCGCCACGGACTAATGAGCTGCTCGAACTTCTTCTTTCCTGACAAGCCTTCTGTCAAGAATGTCGTCTTCAAGATACGGCTCGCTGGCCAAGCATAGATTGGTATTTCTCCGCACCTTGCTCCCGCAGTTTCACCCCCTCTCCGTAAATGCTCTAAATCCACCGAAATCCCGGATATAGCCGGGATTTGAGGCGAAAAGAGGGAAACGGAGGATTTAACTTGCCGTGAGATTTAGCATTGTATTTATTTATTTATTTTTTGTTTGGCAGGATTTAGCTAAAATCCTGCTTTAATACTGCTACCAAACATCCCCTTAATCATCGTCACTTCTCCGCTTCCCGCTCATACGTATCTTCTAATTCTCGAATTGTTTTCGGAAACCTCAACATACCCTAGTTGCAAGAGAATGGTAAGCGTTTATATAAGGAGAAGGAAGAAAATTGTGTTTTTCTATACAAGGAGAAGACGGGGATTTGGGGAGCAGGAACTTTCTCCCCTTCTCTCCAGCAACGAAGTTTATTCTCTCAAGGAGGTGGTTCAAAATAAAGGAGTCTTCTCCAGTGTTAACGATCTGGTCGACATTGGCCTTAGTGACGGGCTTCCGGCACCTTGCACATCCGAGAAGAACCAAGTAAATATCACTATTTATTGATTTTTCTCTTCTATTTGTTTAATTGAGTCTTCCATTCCTGTTGCTGGCGTGGATTTTAACTGGAACCATAAAGGAATAAAAAATGTTTTTTTTTTGTTTCCGCTGTTGCCTGAGTTTTTGTCTTCTCAGGGAAATTCAGAAGTTGAATTTGAGAAGGATGAAACTGTCATCAAAAGAAACCAATTAGATAATATTGACTTGAGCACTGAGGGGAGTCTTCATGAAGAGGGTACTATTAGATTTCTTTATTACTGTTATTTATTTTTGCAATATTTTGAGTTTTTTTTTTTGCTTCTGAACCTTTTTAATGATTTTGCTCAAATAGTAACTAAGGCTAACATACCTGTTGATATTGGATTGGATAACAATGAGCCTCTATTGAGTGTGATCCAGGAATTTCCATCAACACTGTGGTGAGTTATTGCTTGAATTAGAGATAAAAAGACCCTGTTTTACTGAAGTTGAAAACATCTTATTATTTCATCTGTTTTTATAGCTTTCAGAGGAGACCTAGATCAGCTAGAAAATATGGGGGTTTGCCTAGATTGATTAACAATGAACCTCTCTTGAGTGTTATCAAGCAACTTCCGTTTGCAAAAAAATGGTGAGTTATTACTCGAATTTGAGTGAAAAAAGATCATCTTCTACTGAACTTGAAAACAACTTTTGATATAATTCCTCTTTTTTCAGTCTTCAGAGGAGACATCGATCATCTAGAAAATCCACTTTATTAGCTTCAAGGAGACATAACATAATTGAATGTAGTACTTCCGATGATTCAGAACAAATTGCTTCACACTTAGGAGCATCATCATCATCCTGCTTTGAAATTAGCCCAAAAACTCCTATTAAGGATGATAGGATATCTAAGTTTACACCTGATAGTCTCCTTTGTGATGTTCAAGGCTTGCTTTCCACTGGAGTTCTTGCAGGAGCTCTTGTTAAATACAAGAAAGATAATGTAAGTTAATGATCTTGTTAGATTGTTAATTGCTATTGTCACATTTATCAATGTTGGTGTTTACTTTTTGGTTGATATTTGTAAGCTGGAGCTTCTAGGAGTCGTGAGCACTTCAGGAATATGCTGTGGCTGCTCATTGTGCAAATTTGAACAGGTAAATTTGTTTTTTAATATTATTGATGCAATGTTTATTTCCATACATATTTGAACCCAACTGTAAATTTTTATTTACTAACTTCATGTTTTTTTGCTTTTTTTCAGATTTTGTTTCCGATTGTTTATTTGCACTTTCTTCTGCAATTGTAGTAGAGTTTTGACCAAATATTGATGTTCTAAATCAAAATGTGGATCTTTTGTTTAAATTATATTTATAAATTGCAGGTAGTATCTTCTTTCAAATTTGAGAAACATGCGGGCTCAAAAAGTTGCAACCAGAATGCTCACATATTTTTAGAAAATGGAATGTCTCTTTATGCACTTTCTAAAGTGTTGAAAAATGTTTCTTTGGGATCACTTGCTGAAGTGATGGAGGAAAAGTTTGGGTACCTGGCAAACAAGGCAGTCAACATGGCTTGGAAAGGTGGTAAAATACTTCAGTTTTAATCTCATTTACCTACTATATTTAGTTGTGTTCATATTCATTTTCTTTCTTCTATCTTTGATAATGTATCCAAAAAAGACTCGTTATTTTTATGTACAAGTTATTTGCTACAGTAAATATTTAATATACAACAATTAGAAAGACAACTTGGATAGTTTTCTTGACAAGATTCATTTAAAAATAATGTCATTTTTTTCTTAGATTTCTATTTGACCTTTTTTTCCTAATGGTTAACTAATGTTTTGCATAAAAAAAGTTTTATATATTTATTTCATTTTTAAAATTTTATTATAATAACATGAATGTTTTCTCCTATTCAACGAACTTGATATGGCTTTAACATGGATGCATATCTAGTCATGGCATGAAACAAATTAAGGCATAAAAAGTTATTTTGTATGCATCATCATCATCATCATCATTTTCTTATCTTCCTATTTATTTGAGATTGGTTTTATGAATCCTCATTCTCTATTCATTCTTATTGAGTACTATAGGACCTTAACTATATTTTTTGTAGATCTTTTCACATATCTTCGTGTCGTGCACATTGTCTTTTATCTACCATATTTTCTTGATCATTCAATTTTAATTTTATGTTCACATCTTATTCTTGTATTTTCTATCCTCCATTTTAAATGTCCAAATCACTAAATTATATTTTACATCATCTTATCTTTAGTATGTTTTGCTTACGTAGTTATCGACTAAATTAAAAAAAAGGAGTTTTGAATAGATGCGAAGCAACACACCTGCCTCCGAGCTGGCCCCACCTCATGCGATTTGCTTCCAAACGAAGCAACTATTCGTTCAAAACAACACAACTGCCTGCTCATTTTTTCAAAAACAACAGGCAGGAGCGGTTGGGACAAGTATTCGTACTCACATAGACGAAGTCAAAGCCCTCATCCGCTTACCCTTGACCAAAATCCCTTAAATCTTTATTCCACTCCAGTCGACTCCAATCCTGAGCCACACAAGCGCCTCCAGCGTCCGACATCTGATCGAGCACCCCACGCACGGGATCGACCCGCGAAGACGCCTGTCCAATCCCTCCTAGCTAACAATCTCACACCAACCCACTTCTGATGCCCCAGTCGACTCCGACGCCTCCCGTCCGCCTCCACTCGCACGGCCCAATCTGTACCGCCAAACTAACCTTCACGCGCTCAATACTTTGTTCGCCTGCCTGTTCCACCTGCTCCGCTTGTTCGACACCTTCATGCCTAATGCAATCTCACTCATGACCCAGCGCTTGTCCGAGCATGTACCGAGCGGTACCGAGCATGTACCTAGCGATATCGAGCGGTACCGAGCATGTACATTAGGTTTTTCAACAATGAAGAGAATAAATGGCGAAATCCACTTACAGGTCTTGGCTCTCTTGCGCTCAAAAGGTGCTCTGTTTGGCATTGATTGCGAACTTTGCCTCGAATGACAGCAGAAATAATGCAAGAACGAAGGAATGGGAAAGACGAGCTCTGCTTGGCCGAGCATAAATGACGAAGGAACGGGAGGTGAAGGCAACGAGCTCCGTTTGGCGTCGACTGCGAGCTCTCCCGATCCGCCCTAGAAGATTTCTTTCGTGGATCGGAAAAATAGGGCTTCTCGTTCGCGAAAAAGGCTAAATAGAACGGACGATTTTATCATTTAATAACCGGACACACGTGTCGGACACGCGTGTCCGATTTAAATTTTAATGTTTTAAATTCCGACACTCCAATGTCGTGTTGGACAAATGTCCATGCCGTGTCCGACGCGTGTTCGTGTCCGACACGTGTCCGACATTGCATACCCTCTTTAAGCGGAGTGTCGGTGCATCCTAGGTGAACTGCCTCATAAATTATATAGGTTTATTGCCTTGTTAATCGAACTCTCAGCCTTAGCATTTGACACTAATGATTGTGCTAATTAACAAAAGTTTAAATGATTTAGTAAATTGACATGTAATTAAATAATAATTATTATTTTTATAAAAACAACAGGTATTCGCCGATTTCAAGACTCGCGCCGTGATTTTTTATTCGAGTGGTTGCTTTTAAAATTCGAAGACCCGTATCATGATTTTTAATTCGGGCAGATGGTTTTAAAATTCAAAGACTCGTGTCGTAATTTTTAATTCGGGCGGATGATTTTAAAATTTGAAGACCCGCACCATTAATTTTTTATCTGGGTAAATGAATTTGATAAATGGAAGACCCCGCGCCATCGTCCTTAAGTTTAGGCGGGAAGAAACACTGGCAATTGCCGCCTCGACCTCCTCGCGTGGGGAGGGGACGCTAAGAGGCTGCCGAAATTGCCCGAAAAAATTGTCAAATGACAATGAGTAATTGAATAGAGGCATTAATTAATTTGATTAACTAAAACACAAATTCTAAAATCTTTAAATTAAAATTAATCTAATTAAATTAAAACCTTAATTTAATTAACTGAATCACATAATTAAATTTAAAATTCAAATCAAATATAAAACTTTAATTTTAAACTTTAATTAAAATCCAATTAATTATCAACCTTAAGATTAAAATTCATTTAACTAATTCACCATTTAATTGAGCAATTAATTAAATCACTTTAAAATAAATCTAAAATTCAACCCTCACTCAACCAATTTAAAATTTCATCAAATTTAAAAAAATTCAATTAAAATCTCATTTAATTAACCAAATAAATTTTAATCAAAGTCAAATTTCAAACCTAATTAAAAAATTTAAATTTAATTAATTAATTTAAAATTCAACCAACTAACCAATTTAAGATTCAACCAATCAACCAATTTAAAATCACATAAATAAAATGAAATAAAATACATGAATAAAAATATTCACACTAATCAACCAATCAAATGAAACAAAAAATAAAATGCATAATGTTCATAATAATAAACCTAAAATAATTCAACTTAACTAACTCAAACCCAACAATTCAACTCATGCTCACAACTCAAACTCAACAATTTAACTCACAATTTAAATTCACAATAACTCTCATGACTCTCCACAACACATTCTGTAAGCTCTCTAAAGTCTCTCATGTATGAGCTATTGCAACAAACAATTGAAATTCATTAAGCATCATAATTAAATTAATATCAAAATAAATGCTAAAGTATGAAAAAAAAGAATAAGTGCCATGCTAAACTATAGACAAAAAGTAGAACAAATCACTAAAAGTAGAACATTGTTGAAAGAAAAAAGAGCAAAGTAAAGTGCTGAACTACTAAAATAAGAAAATAAACTGCTGTAGCGAAGAACAGTAATGTCGCATAACGGCAACTAGTAGTTAGTAAGTGTTGAGCTAATAAACAACTGAAAATCACAGTTTGGAGTTAAGCTAACAAACAACTGTTTTCCACTCAAACAAACAAATAATTAAATCTCTTGGCATCCTAGTCTATAGGACTAAGTTATAAGACTTTACTAATGGGTCACTTCTAAATGAAGTAATAAGACCCACTTTTAGGTATCTTCTAAAAGAAAGACCTATTAATTGAGAGAAACTTCTCTCAAAAATTGAAACTTCATGTAGTTTAGCCTATAGGGCTAAATTGTAAGACCCATTAATGGGCTACTTCTAAAGGGAAGCAGTAAGACTATTATTCCCAAATAATTAGGCAACTTCTAGTAGGAGTCGTGAGACATATTATTTGGGAAACTACTAAATAAAATATTAAACCCCAAAATAATCAAATTCAAAATTAACAAGCATCTTAATCTAAAGGATTAGGTTGTAAGACTTACTTTTAGACAACTTCTAAAGGAAAGTTGTAAAACCTACCCAAACAATTAAATCTCCGGGCAGCCTTGCTATAGAGCCAGGTTGTAGGACTTATTTTTAGGCAACTCCTAAATAGAGTCGTAAGTTCTAATCCAAATTAAACCTACATGCAACTTCTAAGGGAGTCGCAATACCTGTCAATTAAATTCAAAACTAATGGGCAGCTTTGCTGTAGAGTTTGGTTGTAAGACCTGCCAATGGGCTACTTCTAAGAGAAGCCGTAAGACCCATCGTACGGGCTACTTTCAATGAAAGCCATAAGTCCCGACTCAGATTCAAATGCCTGGGTTACTTCTAATATAAGTGTGGGTCTCCGAAAGGATTCCGCTCGTGTGCTTCGAATGCAAAGGGTACGATCACACTATCCTGTAGGACAAAATGGTCGTAGGCCTTTACACTCGGCACAAACAGGCCGATGGAAGAGCAGATGGAGTTATAGATACGATTAGCCATGGAGGATAGCGGCTTTCACCTACCAACCTCGATGGATAATAATATCTATAACCCAAAAGTTCACGAGATTTCCCCCATTCGATACATCAGCTCGAATGGGGTTTATTTGATTGTGGGGATCGGTTTCCTACGGGCGCAAGCCCCCGTAGTTAATTACATCCTAAGCCTTGACTTAGGAAAACTCTCGATTAAGGATGTTAGATTATCTCAGTACATATATTTAGTAATTATTAGTTGGTTATAAATTAGAAAAGAAATATAGATTAGGCGATTTATTAATCAAATTGGTTAATTGATTTAAAAAAAAAAAGATCTAAAGTTTGATATTTTAGGAGTCTCTTATCCTAATGAATTTTAGCTTAGGTTTGAATCTCCTAATTAAAGTCTACCTCTTTTAAATTTTAGGTTGGTTAGGAGATTATTATTAATTTAGTTGAACTTGATTTAGATTTGGTATTTTTAATGGTTATGAAATATTAATTATGGTTAGAATAAAAATTAAGTGTTTTAGTACATTTTAAAGGATTGAATTATGGTTGATTTCTGTTGGTTGATTATTAGTAGATTAAGGGGAACTAAACCTAGGAGAACGTGTCACTAAGTTTATGTTTTGATGTCTCTATCCTATAGGGAGCATGCATCCTAAGTCTATGTTATCTAAGACCCGGTCCTTAATTTTTGTCCTTAGATGTCGCTAAAGTTATAGGACTAAAATGAGTTTTGTTTTCTAACCCTCTAGGACTTTCGTA